GCCATTGTGGAAATCAGTGTGGCAATTCCTCAAGGAACTTTATACAGAATTACCATTCAACCCAGCAATTCTTTACTGTGTATACACCTAAAGGAATATAAATTGTTCTATTGTAAAGACACATGTACACATCTATGTTCACTGCAGCACTACTCCCAATGACAAAGGCAAGGAAGCAACCTAAATACCCATTAACAGTAGACTAGATAAAGAAACTGTGGTACACATACATCATGGAATACCATGCAGCCATAAAAAAGAATGAGCTCATATTCTTTGCAGGAACATTGATGGAGCTGGAGACCATTACCCTTAGCAAACTAACACAACAGCAGAAATCAAATACCACATGTTCTCATTTATAAGTGAGAACTAAACAATGAGAACACAGGAACACAAAGGGAAACAACAGACACTGGGGCCTACTTGAGGATAGAGGGTGGGAAAACGGAGAGAATTACAAAAAGTGTCTGTAGAGTACTATGCTCATTACCTGGGTGATGAAATAATCCATACACCAAACCCCTGTGACACACCATTTACCGATGTAACAAACATGCACACATGTGCCCTGAATCTAAGATAAAAGTTTAAATAAACACAAAAACCAAATGTAGGCTAAAATTCAACTGAGGCAGCCAGGCACAGAGGCTCATGCCTATAATCACAGCACTTTGGGAGGCCAAGGCGGGAGGATCACCTGAGGTCAGGAGTTCAAGACCAGCCTGGCCAGCATGGTGAAACCCTGTCTACTAAAAACACAAAACAATTAGCCTGGCATGGTGGCGGGCACCTGTAATCCCAGCTACTCAGTAGGCTGTGACAGAAGAATCACTTGAACCCAGGAGGTGGAGGTTGGAGTGAGCCGAGATTGTACCACTGCACACCAGCCCAGGTGATCGGAGAAAGACTCCATCACACACACAATAAAAAAGGACAGCCCTAACATAAAAAAGGATAGCATGAGGACAACCACAGCCATTTAAGATGAAATAAATATATTTGATGCTAAGAAAGAAAACAAGAATGGTACATCAGGATCAGACTTTGAAGAGCCTCGAGATTTGTGCAAAAGTTTTGACTTTATGCTTCCCCCCTGCCCCCACTTTTTTTTAGTTTTTGAGATGTAGTCTCACCCTGCTGCCCAGGCTGGAGCGCACTGATAACCATCTTGGCTCACTGAAACCTCCACCTCGTGGGTTCAAGCAATTCTAGTGTCTCAGCCTCCCAAGTAGCTGTAATTACAGATGTGCACCAACACACGTGGCTAATTTTTGTGGCTTTAAGTAAAGACGGGGTTTGGTCATGCTAGCCAGGCTGGTCTCAAACTCCTGGCCTCAAGCAATTCACCCACCTTGGCCTCCCAAAGTGCTGGGATTACAGAGGGGAGCCACGGCACCTGGCAAATTTTGACTTTGTTATTTGTAAGGAATTAACAAAGTATATACGAGAAGATTTCCCTTTATCGCTTATGACCAGAAGGAGTGAAAGTGAACTAATAATCTGAATGTATCCCAAGTAGTATCACATGAAACACTGCGAAGAGAATTGTATAGGAAAAAAAATCATATTTCTATTACAAAGTAAAATTAAAATGTGAGCACTCCCAGCAAACCAATAAGAAAGACTGAGCTGTGATAATTTTTATAAGATCCTAATAAGCCAAGCTATCATGGAATCCACCAACATTTAAGAAGTTAAAATTCACTAATAGCTCCATACATTTGCAAAGCAGGAATCAAATTCTAGACAAAGAAAATTATATAAATGCAAATAAGGATCTTCTCTTCTATTTTTATGATGAATAATCTTGTCATTTTAGTGCTATAAGTTTGTAGATGCATCAAAAATTTTCTTAAATATACTGAAACTCGTTGTTCAGAAAAGACCCTCAAGAATGATAAGAAGCCACAATGGAAATGAAAGTCACATTATGGTACAAGCCAATAACTAAAGTCCTAGTCTACACTGTAGAGTCTAGAACACTCCACAACCACATCTCAATACCAAGAGTGCTTTAGAACACAATTTTAAATGCACTTGGAGATCAGTAGGAATCCTAAAATTGCACAGTGGTTAACATCAGATCATAAATGGCTAGCAGCTGGTTTATTTATTTATTTGAGATGGAGTCTCACTCTGTCACCTAGGCTGGAGTACACAGGCATGATCTCAGCTCGAAGCAACCTATGCCTCCCAGGTTTAATCCATTCTCCTGCCTCAGCCTCCCAAGTAGTTGGGACTACAGGAATGCACCACCACACCTGGCTAATTTTCTTGTATTTTTAGTAGAGATGGGGTTTCACCAACTTGGTTAGGCTGGTCTTGAACTCCTGACCTCAAATGATCTGCCCACCTTGGCCTCCCAAAGTGCTAGGATTACAGGTGTGAACCACCACACCTGGTGTGGCTGTTTTTAAGAGGCTATGTCTAGAGATTTACTTGACTCCATAATTTGGGTAACAAGCTTTTATTCTCATACACACAAATACAACTAAGAGTTCAACTTCACTGAATGTAAAGTATACTGATACCCTGATAAGTCTCAGAGTCTATAACTAAAAAGAATTAATGGACACAATTTTGAGACAGAGTCTCTGTCGTGGAGGCTGGAATGTAGTGGCACAATCCAGGCTCACTACAACCTCCACTTCCCAAGTTCACGTGATTCTCCTGCCTCAGCCTCCTGAGTAATTGAGAGTACTGGCATGTGCCACCAGGCCTGCCTAATTATTTTTTATATTTTATTATTATTATTATTATTTTGGTATTTTAAGTAGAGATGGGGTTTCACCAAGTTAGTCTGGCTAGTCTAGAATTCCTGACCCACCTCGGCCTCCCAAAGTGCTGGGATTACAGGCATGAGCCACCACACTCAGTCTATTACTAACATTTTTCCTCTATTTCTGACGTGTGTAATGCCAGACAGAGCTATTTATCTCTTTAGATATGTTTATAGAAGAATCCAAACTACTGCTTCAAAACTTGTTATTATAAAATTTACCCATAAATTGAAAAATAGTCTATGGAAACCAAATACACGATCTCTTAAGTCCATTTAACGGTCTAGTTAACACATTTAATAGTACTTATAAGTTAAGTGTTCCAGAGGAATGCTACAGGTTTGATTTATTTTGTAGTTTTATGAAATCAGACCGTATATCTATATAGGCATCTTCCTTCATTTGGGTTGCTAGAAGCTTTTTTTTTTCTTTTTCTTGCAAATTCTCTTGAGTGTTCAAAAGAACAATATTCCCTCGGTGCTTAAATGTACATAACAGCTTGGCTGGATGTAAAATTCTTGACTCACATTTTCTTCACTTATGTTAAATGCAGTTCTCTAGTGTCTTCTCGCCTAATGTTTTCCTGCAAAAATACTTAGTAACAATGTGGTTTTCCCCTAGTAAGTCACGTGGTCTTTCAGCCTAAGAATTTTAGCACTACATGTAGGCTGCAATGTTTATTAGGACTTTATGATAGTTTTTACATATTATTTCTAATTGTTTCTTGTTCTTAACCTTCTCCTTGTTTTGTGGGCAAAAGAGTAGACTTTATTTGAGAGCATTAAAAAGGCTTTTCTCCAGAACAAAGAACATGAGCTTTAGTACATTAACCTGGACATTGTTTTCATCTATTCGAAAACTTTGGGCTAGTTTATCGGTTCTTAACTGTTTCGGATAAATAAATGTATAATATACTGAATTATGAACTGAAGAAACATAACTAATCTTAGAATGATAAAGTGTTAGCTGAGTTAAAGTAGAATTCAGAAATCAGAATCCACTTAAGAAATGAGTTTTAAAAGAAAAAAAGATTTGTTTTATAATTAAAAAAAGTCTTAGTAACTAAAAATTTAACAATTAAAATAACTCAGAAAACAACTCTCTGGCTGTTTAAAACTGAAAGGCCTAATTATCCACATTCCAACCTCAAAATATAACTAAAAAGTAAGTTCCATCCAAAGGTTAAGACCTATTGTTATTTTCAGGCTCCTGCTCTTCATGGAGTACAAGGGTGTATCACAGCAGATATTTGTGTGTGACTCATATAATTGAAGACATGTTCCCAGGCCTATGTTAAATTATTTTTTTTTTTTAAAAAAAAAAAAAAAAAAAAAAAAAAAAGGAACATAACACACTGTAAATAATCTCAATTCTAAATTACTCTAATAAAATTCTTAATTATTCTAAAAAATGAGAAAGAAAAAACATCTTAGAGACAAATGACTACAAAAAGAACTAGGTAATCATGGTCTCAACATAGAAAACAAAAATGATTTTTGAGCCTCATTCAAAAGCCCCGCCTAGTTTTATGATCCAAGAATCATTCACGCTTTCCAGTTTAATCACCATCAAAAAGTCTAACTCGTGCACGAACTTGTACATACTCCTTTGTTAGGCACCCAAGTATCAACTTAGACATACTTAGTAGACTCTACGCTTAGAAAGCTTGTAATCCAAACCAGACAAAAAGAGAATTAGATAAATTTACGTCCTAGAAAAAGGGGCTAGTTTACTGCACCTCCATATTACCATAACTACATATATTTGGGAGTCTGTATCATCTCTTTATTGATTTTATTTCCCTAGAATGTGCTGGGCTCTAGGATAAATTTGTTTTTATCATTTGCCTTTAGGTTTAATATCTACAAAATAAAGGTTTCATCCTGATTTATATAAGGTATTTTCAAACTAAACAAATCTCTATTTCTATAAATGCTGTATCATTTGACAGTAACAGTGCCCTTGTTTATAGGGTTCTTGTATTTTTTAAATTTTATTTTAGATTCAGGGAGTACATGTGCCCGTTTGTTATGTATAAGTATTATATAATGGTGGGGGGTTTGGGCTTCTGGTATACCCATCACCCAAACAGTGACCATTATACCCAATAGTAGTTGATCAAGCCTCACCAGCCTCCCAACTTCACCCCTGTTGCTACTGTTTCCATCTTTAAGTCCACGTATGCCCAATGTTTAGTTCCCATTTATACATAAGAACTTGTAGTAGGTTGCCTAACAACTGGCAGCGGAGTCCTTTGGCTATGGCCTCCAACTTTAAGAAGGCAAACATGGTGTCAAGTGCCCAGCGAAAAAGAATGAGTCCTAAGCCTGAGCTTACAGAAGAGCAGAAGCAGGAGATCCGGGAAGCATTTGATCTTTTTGATGCAGATGGAACTGGCAGCATAGATGTTAAGGAACTTAAGGTGGCAATGAGGGCCCTGGGCTTTGAACCCAAGAAAGAAGAAATTAAGAAAATGATAAGTGAAATGGATAAGGAAGGGACAGGAAAAATGAACTTTGGTGACTTTTTAACTGTGATGACCCAGAAAATGTCTGAGAAAGATACCAAAGAAGAAATCCTGAAAGCTTTCAAGCTCTTCGATGATGATGAAACTGGGAATATTTCGTTCAAAAATCTGAAACGCGTGGCCAAGGAGTTGGGTGAGAACCTGACTGATGAGGAGCTGCAGGAAATGACTGATGAAGCTGATCGAGATGGAGATGGAGAGGTCAGTGAGCAAGAGTTCCTGTGCATCATGAAAAAGGCCAGCCTTTATTAAGATCAGTGTCTTCTTTTCTACTGCAAGCACATGTAACTAGATTTAGTGCCTGCAATTGTGTGAAATCTGGCTTTTGAGAACACAAATGTTTCCCTCACTGACCTCCCTGTATCACTTTAATAATGACCTTGAACCTATTTTAGCCTTTTGGAAGTGTTCTTTTATATGACAGTTCTTTGTAAAATGACTTGCTAATTATTCTAATTCTCAAAAGCAAAACAAGAGGACACTAGCGTGAAGAAAAGGATCTTAAGGCTTCGAGCACCTGCCATTTTGCCTTGCATCGTTTCCACATATCCACAAACACAGAACGACTTCTTAGACAAGCACATGTGGTACCTGTGTCACCATAAGCAGCAGTCATTTTTCAGTGGTTCCAGTTTTCTCTTTATACAACCCAGTGAACTCTCACACTGGCATTTGGATGTGTGTTAATGCTATTTGTTTTATCTTAAAAATAAAACCTTTCTCAGTTTGAAAAAAAAAAAAAAAAAAAGAACTTGTAGTAGCTGATTTTTGGTTTCTGGTGTTTTTCACTTAAAATAATGGCCTCCAGCTTCATCCATGTGGCTGCAAAGAACATCCTTTCATTCTCTATGGCTGGCTTACTGACTTCTTGTTGCTATGTTCTGCGGAACTCTGTTCTCCAACAAAGGCCGAAACAGTATCTCCTCAACTACCTGCTCTTCTACTATCCCTTCTATGCTGATGTTCTACTATCAAGAAATGGACTCTTAAATCCCTTCTAATGAGCTTCTGATGTGGTTCTAACTAAAAGAACGTAGTGGATGACACTGTGTGACTTCTGACGATAGATCATAAAGTGACAGTTTCCACTCTGGAAGGTATGCAGTAGCTTTTGGAACTGTGAGTTGCCAGGTAGGAAGTCTGACAGCTCTGAGGCCCCCACGCTGTGAGAAAGCCAAGCCATATGCAAAGGACAAGGGCAAGCGCTCCATTCAGCTGTCCTAGTTGTTTATCTTTCTAGCCCAGGGGCCAGATGTGAGCTTTCAGTTAGTTCTAGTCCCCAGCCATGAAGCCACCTCAGGCCCTTGAGATATCTCAGCTGAGGCTTCAAATATAACAAGACAGGGGGCAAGCCATCCCAGCTTTGTCTTTTCTAACTTCTTGCTATATAAAATCATCCACAAAATTAAAAAGTGGTTTATGGCTGCTAAGTCCGGGGATAATTTATTATACAACAATAATCACCACAGTCTTTATTCTGCTCACCACAACAGCTACGCAAAACCTCCTCCCTCTGTTCTGCAGGAAAGATGTGCCCTCGCTCTTTTTAAAAGACTGATCAACTAGCTCCAAAAATCATTTATTTAATTCCTTTGTTGCTGGTCTTTCAACCTCTACTCAAATTTTATCTTTTCTGCCTAGAAATATGCTCAGATATGTCACACTAAAATAAATACTTTTTCTTGCCCAAATCTAACTCCACTCCCTAGAAGCTGCAATCATTTCATTGCTTAATTTCACCAAATAATCTGCTATGCTCTGCTAATATAGCCTCACCCTGACGTCTGCCTGACTCATAACTGGCCCCAACCCATGGTACTCTCGAGAAAGCCCCGCAAGTAGTTCACTGTTCCTGTCAGCTTTTATCTTCCTGAAACTGAAATTTAGCTTAAACTGAAATCCTTCTGTCTTGAAAAGTCTTTTTTCACGCCTAAGACCATTTAGTCTTGGAAAGAACATGACCATCTCAGCATGTTACCAACACAGGCAAAATTACTACCGTCCAAGGGAAGGATTTTGGTGTAGGTGTCTGATGAGACACTCAGGTTTAAAGGCTCATGGTGAGTATTTGTAGTATAGAAAGCAGAGCTGAAGAGGCCACCATCGGGATCAAGCAAAGGTTAAAAAATAAATATATAAAACTAATTCATTATAATAGAATTACAAAAGCAAATAAGTCACAAGAAAAATAAATATAAAAGGGACAAAGGTGAGTAAATTGCTGCTGGGAATATACAGTGACATAGCCATCTGGGGAAATAATCTGGCAGCTCAAGTAGTTAAACATGGAGTTAGCATATTACCCAGCACGTCCACTCCTAAATACCTACCAAAAGAAATGAAAACAAATGTCCACTTTAACTCATATACAATTGTTCACAGAAGCATATTCATCATAGCCAAAAAGTGAAAACAACCCAAATATATGAATTGCTGTTATACATCCAGAAAACAAAATATTATTAAGCATGAAATTAATGAACAGATACATAGTATAATAAGAATAAATCTTTAAAACATTATAAGTAAAAGAAGCCAAACACAAAAAGTGATGTATTGTGTTCGTTTATATGAAATGTCCAGAAAAGACAAATTCAGAGAGACAAAAAGTAGCTTAGTGATTGCTAAGGGTTGTAAGGGTAAGAGAATAGGGCCTGACTGCTAATGGACAGTCATTTCTTACGGAGAGTGAGGAGAATGTTCTGGAATTTGAAAGTTGTGAGTTGCAAAATTCTGTTAATATACTGAAAACCATGCAATTGTACCTTTAAAGCAGAGAATGTTATGTTTCCAAATTTTAACTCGATTTTTAAAACTGTATGAGGGAAAAAATAGCACATTTTCAATTACTGCTTCCTTGTAGACATAAACCAGACAAAAAATCTCCAACAAAATCTGAAACTTCCTTACTTCATTTCACTCTTTTCAATTGCTACTTAAAACAGGATCCCCAACCAAGAGAGGGAAATTGAAACAATTCCACTGAATCCAGAACATCAATGCTTAGGAGACAAATCTGAATAAAGAACTCTAAGAATAGAGTCCATTTTCAAATTAGCACCAAATGGGAAATAAAGAGAAAATATATTACTTATAACAGGTTCTGTTTGTAAATGTTTTTAGAATACTACCTTAGATCCAAAATAAGAATCCAACAATCCTATGCCCTTAAAGAGAACTGGTGGACAGCCCCAACTAACAAAATGACTTGCAAGAGTGTTCCAGCTCTTAGCTGGGAGTATAAAAGGAAAAAAAACCCTTATGCTATAGTGAGCCTAAGGGGCTGGAAGGAGGCACAGAAAGAGAATGAGCTACGAAGAAGCCACCACATTAATTGTCAACACTTTCTAAACCCAAACTCCAGTCCTTTCCTCAGCTGCTACCAAGGGGCTCAGTCCTTCTGAGAAAGCTATGGCCACATTGAGGAGAGGCCCTCACTTCATCCAGCAACTTGCACTGCGTCCAACAGCACCAGCCCAGCACTAGCCGGCACCACGGCCCCCAGGGTTCACCTGCAACTACTCTACTCTCATTCTGCAGGATGATGAGTTGATCGTCACAGAGGATAAGATCAAGGCCCTAATTAAAACAGGTGGTGTAAATGTTGAACCTTTTCTGCCTGGTTTGTTGACAAAGGCCCTGGCCAATGCTGACATCAAGAGACTCTGCAATGTAGGGGCTGGTGGACCTGCTCCAGCAGCTGCTGCATCAACAGGGTCCTACCCTGTCCACAGCAGCTGTTCCAGCTGAGAAGAAAGTGGAAGCCAAAAAAAAAAAAAAAAGAATCACAGCTAGGCACAGTGACTCACACATGTAATCCCAGAACTTTGGGAGGCTGAGGTGGGCAGATCACTTGAGGCCAGTAGTTCTAGATCAGCCTGGCCAAAATGGCAAAACTGGGTCTCTACCAAAAATACAAAAATTAGCTGGGTGTGCTGGCACATGCCTGTAATTCCAGGTGCTCAGGAGGCTGAGGCATGAGAATCACTTGGGAGGCAGAGGTTGCAGTGACTGACAGAGAAAGAAGAGAGAGAGAGAGAGAGAGACAAAAAGGGAAAATAAAGAAGAATCTGAGGAGTCTGATGATGGCATGGGCTTTAGCCTTTTTGACCAAAAGTTCTTTTGTAACTCTTTTTACAAATTTTTTAAAGATTAAACTGGACTTCAGGGACCAGGGGTGAGGCCACTAGCTATAGGGACAGTGGGCATGCTGTGGTGTGATCGTATGGGGCTGTTGCAGGCATCTGAACTGGTCTCTCACCACTCCCATGCCACATAACTGTGCTCTGGCACTGAGTACAGTGGTGACAGCCCTGTGGCAGGTACCACAGCATTTTCTTAGTAGGTAATGGCAGCACCAGCAGGAGCAAGCCAGGACCAGGAAGGAAAATCACAAGAGATCACACATGGGGACTCTGACCCAAATCCTGTGCCCCTCTGGGAACTTCCAGGTCCAAACGGGGAGATTATGCAGGGGCTGAGAAGTAAGGACAAGAGCCACTGACATTTGGAATGACTGGAAGTGTGACCACCCATCTATATTCAAACATTACAAACTTTGGTTTACACAACTGAATGTGTTCAGGAAAGTACCATTCAGAGTTACACCATGGCTGCCATCTCAGTCCCCTCCATGTCAGAATTAACACACATCTTGGTTGCTCTCCTACCTCCCTGACTGCTATGTCTATTTCTTGTACTTGTTCCTTTTCCTCTTGCATTCTATTAAATTTTTCAAAGGCTAGTCACCGAAAGCCTCTCTGCATCCTTTTCTCTTTTTTTAAAAACTACTTACCAACCATTATATGATCTGTTTTACCTACCAAATCAAATCTATAAGATTTGTGTAAGATTTGGGAACAGTTTACCAACTGCCTTCCCTGCTGACATGAACCACAGAGTTTGGGGATCCCAAAGACCATCCTCGGGTTCAATAACATGCCACACTGTTAGACTATCAGGTGTGCCCCAAGCACCCGATCTCTATGCCCCTGGAAGGCTCCAAGGACAAAGGCCAGATCTTTCTTTGGGCAAGGTTAAATTCTTTACTAAACCACCTGCTTGCTGATTCTTCTGAGCCTCCGATTCATATATCTAACCTCCTTCTTGGTATTTCCAACAATAGTCAAACTCATCAACATTTGCTCAGACCAACTGTGACTTCACTGTTTATACTAATAGTGCCAACATTACTTTAACGTGTTTAAAAATTTATTTTTAATTAGTAAGCCATAACTGTATGTATGGGGTACAATGTGATGTTTTAATATATGTTACACTATTATTTTCTATAAGGAATTGAGGCAGCTTATAAAACCACAATATAAGATACACAATTAGAAAAATTGGGACACAGAAAAAGTAACCGAGAAAAAATAAAATAGAATGA